GTGAAAGCTTTAGCCTAAAGTGTTTCCTTTCCCTCCATCCTTCTGTTAGTGGATAGAGGGACCCCTAAATCAGGAAGCCCACCAAAGTGTGGGTCCATGCCGCCGGCCGGGAAAGAATGCACGCAGGAGAGGCAGAGGGATGAAGTGAACAGCCGCTTTATTGCTCAGAAGGGGGAAGTGGAAAGAAAGTGCCAGAGCTGAGAAAGGAGCAGGGAGCCGTCAGCCAAGGTGGCCGGTAGAGACAGTTCCGGCCAGGTCCAGGTCCAGCTGTGGGGTCTTTTGTTAGGAGGCTCGGCCAGTGGTGGTGGTAATTATTTCCTGCTACAGGCTCCTTCCTCCCTCAGAGCTCAGCCCTGAAACAAAAAGCAGTTAGCAGAAACTTCAGCGAAAAAAACAAAGGAAGAGATACTGAGGTATGTCCTCGGATTTTAAGGCGCCAGCTGTGGGGTAAGAGAAATGTCCAGCCTTTCCATCAGCTGGGCACTTCCTGTCCCTTGTTGTTAATTAACCCGGGTCCATGAGTCCACCTCATCACCTCTCTCACTTCCAAACCTCAAGCTTCTTTGCTGTTTAGAATTTAATTATGCTTGAAAGGAGACTTTTTTTTTAAATATCTTTTTTTGTTTTTTGAAACTTGTAATAGTACTTCTGGGAGCTTGGCCTCTCCCTAAAACCAGCCTCCACCCTTTTCTCGTGCTGTATGAGATGCAGAATATCAAACTGACTGTGTTTGTAGGCTCTGTAGTCAGACAACCGAGGTTTGAACCCTTACTCCTGTCACTTGCTACCTGGGTAACCGTGGTCAAGTGACTCAACCTGTCTGTGCTTTTATCTTCTACAAAATGAGGAAATAATAGTACCCAGCTCAGAGGTTTGTAAAATTTAAATGACTAGATTATGTGTAAAACACTTAGCATCGAGCCTCCTTCCTCAGAAACACTCAACCAGTGTTAACTCTCTCTCTGAGTGATCTCATGACTGTCCGCTGTATGTTGATGATCACCAAATTTATATTCCATTCCCCAGCTAGAGAGCCCTTAGAGCGCCGGAACTGTATTTCAAAGAACCTCCTGTGTATTCCACTTGGATATGGTGACTCACACTCAGTTTAGTGTTTAGTACTAAATTCTTATTTTTTTCTTACTCCAAAGCTCTGTCTTCCTCACCCTGATCCTTGATGCAGTTAGTAGCAGACTTATTCACGCATCATTTAAAGTTATCTTTGCTCCCTTCCGCACCAGTTGCCACATCTACTGCATCTGCTCAGTTGCCAAGTCCTCCTGTGTCTACCTCAGGCCACCTATGGAACCTCCCTGTCCTCTGTTCCCTGCGGTAGTTCAGTCAGTTTCTCTTCCTGGACAGTTTCCATAGCTTTCCAGCTAATCTCTGTGCCTCCTACCATCTCTGTGCCTCACCCTTTCCACTCTAATTCATCCTCCGTGTAACTGCCAGAGTATAAGCACATTGCTCCAGCTCATGCTTTAAACTATCCAAATAATTCTTGATGCTAATGAGATAAAAGACAAAGGACTTTTTTTTTGACCCAGAGAAATGCTACTCATCCTTCAATGTCACCTCTTAATGATAACTCCCCCAGATCACAAGGCATGACTAATTCCTCTTCCACTGTGCTTCTGTAACACTTTGAACATATTTCTCATTAAATTTACCATACTGTATTGCAATTCCTTACTCACTTGTCTCTCCCCCTCAGGAGATTGTGAGCTTCTTAAGGAGAGGGAGCCTCTTACTCATTCTTGTATCACTCTTGACCAGCAGAGTGTCTGGCCCATAATAAATAAACAATTCAAGCCTGTGGCATTGTAATAAGTTTATAATACAGCTTTCTCCTCCTTCTCCACTTCAGGCAAATAAGCAAGGCAGTATCAACAGCTTCTAAATATCAGGCTTTGTTGGGGTGGGAACTAGCTCAGTGGGAGAGCTTGTACTTCGCATGCGTAAGGTCCTGGGTTCAATCCCTAGGACCTCCATTAAAACAAACAAACAAACAAAAATAAATAAACATCAGGCTTTGGACTGTTTGCACCACAAGTATCCGGGAAGCTCCTCACAATGTATGGATTTATGAGTTCTACTCCTAATTTAAAAGGGCTTGTTTTGGGCCTATGTTTAGTGGGTTCCACAGCTAACAATCTAGTCAGAAACCATAACTAAAGCCGTGCTTTGACTTTGTGCTATGACAGCGATCTTTAGACCGTTTACTATCCATATGACCTTGGGCGAGTTGCTTAACACCTCTGCGTCTAAAATTTGCTCAGTAAATAGATTCAATAGTGCCACCTCCTGTATGTTATGAAAATTAAATGAAGTCATTTATCAAAGAGAGCACCGTGCTGGGAACATAGTCGGTTCAGTGTAAATGCTGGCTTTTATTCACATCAGAGAGGACCCGATTCCGTCTCCTAGTTTTAAATGTGAAGAAGCTGGGGCCAAAGGATGCATTATTGAATTCATGTGAGGTTTTTGGTTCCTGCTTTCCTCTCCTTAATTCACAAATACTTCATGGACGAGGCCACCATATGACAAAAACTCACATTTCTATCTTCCCCGTGGTTTTAAAGACATTAATCAAATACCAAGCCAAACAAAACAATGGGATGCTAATCCCTGTTCGTTAAAATGTTCTTAGGGTCAGTGGAGAGCTAACGACCTGGTGACAGAACGGGGCCGTAAGAGGAGACGTGTGTAGGTGACAAGGCAGACTAGAATGCTGTGTAATGAGTGTCTTCTGAAATTTGAAATTTGCAAGTAGCCTGTGCTGCTTTGGTTTGTAAAGAACATATAGAGGGAAAGAGTGGGTTAACCTAGTCTCTTCTCAGAGGGAACCAGAAGAAGCCAAGAGCAGTCTGGCGCAGTAAGAGTGGGGAAGGTTTTTCTCCACTTAGACACTTCACACGATGAAAATGCAGGGGCTCACACTAAAATATAAGCTCTCTATTTTGTTTAATACTGTATCGCCAGCACTTTGAACAGCACCCTAAAAGATGCACAATAAATGCTTAACAAGTAAATGAATAATTCAGACCAGCTAGGAAAGGGTAGCCTACACAAGAAAAAGGACACGTGATCTATTTTTAAGTGTAACATATGCCATAGTTCAAGCTAGAGTAGCGTCAGCTACCGGCAGGGTGAGCACCAGGTCTGTTTCCCTCAGTTCTCTGTGTCCAGGACCCAGCCCAGGGGGTGCTTGAGAAGTACGGGCTGGATAGGTCTTGGCTGAATAAATGTCTAGTAGACGTTTCCAATGACTTGTAGCGCATGTCAGTTATTTTCAGGTCATGGGTGTTTGCCTGGGCTACAACCCCTTCTATCCTCTACACAGCCATTATCTTTACACAGAGGCTTGACCAAGTTGAGAGTCCATTCCAGCCAGTTCTGTCCCAATTGACACCGAGTCCAAGCTAGCAGAATCTGAATTAGCACAAAATTGTTGGAAAGACAAGATTTAACTTAGCACCACCGAACTCAGTGGCTACACGTGCACACCCACACACATGTATAAAAACTCAAATTCCTACAGCATTCTTCTTTCTGTTTCTCCACCTGGCCCAGACAGTGAAAGAGGAAAGGATTATTTTTATCATTGACGAGGGCCAGTTTATCGATCCGGCCTCCTGGGCCTTCATGGAGAAGCTTATCCGGTCTGTTCCTGTCTTCATCATCATGTCCCTGTCTCCCTTCATCGAAATACCCTGTGCGGCTGCCAGCGCCATCATGAAGAACAGGAACACCACCTATGTCACCCTAGGGGCCATGCAGCCCAAGGACATCCGCAACAAGGTCTGCCTGGACCTCAACGTCAGGGGCATCCCCAAAGAGCTGGACACGTGAGTGACCTATTTCTGTCCTGAGGTCTTGACAGCTGCATTCATTCCCCAGGTCCAGACTTCATCAGATTCCTTAAGATGTGTCTGAAAGCACCCATGTTGGTATTCGTGCCGGTGTCCGCCTTTCAAAGGGACCACAGAGCACACTTGGTGGAGTGGATGCTGCTCCCCTTTTCCTTGTCGTGTCCCCGTTACACCATCCCCAGCTTTGCTGGGTGACACCAGATTTGTTTCCCTTTCATCACACTGGGTATGGGTACACTCACTCTTACCCACAGTGACCAAGGGCAAGTGACATGCGGAAGTGACACGAAAGGCAAACCGGTACACATTTAAGACCACACCCGGCAACTAAGCAGGGACTTACTCAGCTGGCGATAATGTGGTCTGGTCTTGGTGTTCACTGTTGGGGGAAATGGTGAAGTCAGGGCTTTCTGAGCTGCTCAGGGACTCCTCGACTTGGGTCTTGACAGCGGTCCCCTTAACCACACGACAGCACCTCTTCCTTAGCTGGCTGTTTGCAACCCACCTTGGTATCTGTATCTGTTCTTTCTAATGAGGTTGCCTTGCTTCTGGAAGAGAGATGTCTTGGACAAAGTCTCATTTAAAATAACTCTAGGCAAGGTGGGGGGGTGTAACTCAAGTGGTAGAGCACATGCTTTGCATGCATGAGGTCCTGGGTTCAATCCCCAGTACCTCCTCTAAAAATAAATAAATAAACCTAATTACCTCCCTGCAAAAGAAAACTAATATATACACTAATATAAATACTAATATATAATATACATGTACATGCATATATATATATAATAACTCTAGGCAAAAATTTGGCATTCTCTCTCCCTTTGTCTCTCTGTTTCTCTCTGTATTTATTTATGTATTTATTTAATATGTATATGTTTATTATATGTGTATACATTTATTATATATGTAAATATACATATATAATAAATATGTATACATATTATATATGTATATATGTATATTTACCTTTTGATCTAGCCTTCCCAATTCTAGGAGTATATCTCAAATATATATTGACAGAAATGTGAAGTGACATATGGACAAAGTTTCTACTGAGGCATGGTTTATACAAATAAAAGACTGAAGATTATCCCAATGTCTATCTCTAAAGGAATAGTTAGAATAAACTAGGATGTGTCCACACGATGGAGTCCTACATAGCTGTAAAAAGAAATGAGAAAGATTTGCTGATGTGGAGGGGTGATCAGGATACAGTGTGGAGTGAAGAAACAAGGGGTGGCCTCGTGTGCAGTATGTGTAACATGCTGTCTTTTATCAAAGGATGGGCTTGAAATATGTGCATGCATGTTCTGTAGTTTTCAAAGGAAACATTAAAAAGATAAACCAGAAACTTATTTAAATGGTTACTTATAAGATGAGGAAGGAAAGCAAGACTGAGGATGTACCTTCCTGCATAATTCTGACTTTGGAAAGATTTCAATGTTTTATGTAATTTTTTAAATGAAAGAAAAAGGGGAAAAAACCAATCCCTAAAAATGGAAAACAAACCAAAACAAATGGAGAAAGAGAGGCAGTTATTTTCAAGTTATTTTCAAATATTTGAGAAGACTCAAATATTTTTCCTTCCTTAAAGATGGTTCTTAATCATAAACAGGTTGCCTTGTCTTCACTCCAGGTACCTGGTGGAGGGGAGCTGTGGGATTCCATTTTACTGCGAAGAGTTGCTTAAAAATCTCGACCATCACAGGGTACTCGTTTTCCAAGCAGTGGAGTCTGAGGAGAAGATAAATGTGACCTGGAATAACCTGTTCAGTAAGTCTCATAGTGATGTCCTTCCTCCTATGTCGTCTACAGAGAGGGTGGCAAGGGTGGACTTTTCCACAGGCTGCTTCCTGTAAGGGTCAGACGGTTTGGGGAGACAGAGTATGTTGGACTTGGTAAGATTACCAGCCTCCCAAATACTTTACTCTGAAAAATTCCCCAGAATAATGATGTTCTCTTACATCGCTGGAGTGTGGGACTTACCAGATTGTGAGGGAACTTAACATTGCCTGGGACTCACTGAGCTGGGAGAAAGAATGTAGACCTGTGATAGAAATGAAAGAACACTGGAGAATCTTAAAGCCCAGGATCAGAACCGAAAGGGGATTTAGATGTTACCTGGGAAAAAGGATAACTTGCTTTCCAGAGATAAAATTATTAGCTCAAAGTGAGTTATCAGCCAGGCTCTCATGCTACAGACACCCAGAAGGATGAACTCTGAGACAATGTGTCAAAGAGGCCAAGTGGAATTTTTATGAAAATGGTTTGAGTGAAGGGAGAGGGTGGGGGTTGGAGAATGGGGTAAGGATGCAAGCTGAGCCTCAGAGGACTAAGGCTAACAGGAATGATAAGAAAATATCTGTGGTGGATGTCCTGGTTGTTTAGGGAGGTAGCAGTAATGGGAAGAAAAATTCATATGCTAGCCAAAAACAAAAGAAGAAAGATGCTATGTTTTGACACAAAGGAGATGTGAAGGTTTAAGGGATAGCATCTCTTCCATGAAAATAGAGAGTATAAAGAGGTAACCAAAAGAAAAATTTCAACTTGAAGTTAGGGGTCTGGAGTTTCAGTTCCACATATGCCATTTAATAGCTGATATTTGGGGATCAGTCATGACCTTTATTGCCAGGTACCTGCTATAAAAGAGGGGGTAAAGGAACTCAAATCATTTTTTATTTATTTATTCAACAAGCATTTACTGAGCATCGTCTCTGTGTCTGACATCACAGTAAGCATTTTACGGACCTCTTAGGAGTATAAATGAAGTGACGGAATACAATAAGACTTTGCTGCCTCATTGGTTTTTTTTTTTTTAATTGAACTTTTTGAGATGATCATAAATTTACATGCCATTGTAACAAGTAACATAGAGAGATTCTATGTACCCTTTCCCCAATTGTCCCCAGTAGTAACATCAATAAAGTTACAGTGTAATATCACCACCAGGATATAATATTGATACAGTCAAGACACAGAACATTTCTGTCACCACAGGGATCCCTCATGTTGCCCCGCCTAACTTCTCTCCCATCTCTACTTCCTTCTTAACTCTGGTAGTCACTAACCTGTTCTCCATTTCTATAATTTTGTCATTTTAATAATTTTTATAAGTGTAATGATACAGTTTATGTAATCTTTTGAGAGATTTTGTTTTTCACTCAGCATAACTCACTGGAGACTATTCAGGTTGTTGTGTTTATCAATAGTTTGTTCTTACTAGTTGCTGAGTAGGCTTCCATAGTGTGGATAAACCACAGATAGTTTAACTATTCATCTGTTGGAAGACATCTGTGTTGCTTACCAAAAAAAAAAAAAAACCACAAAAAAACAAAAAAATACTGCTAAAGAACATTATTGAATCAGTTGACAAAACTGAAATCTTGACAATAAATTATTGTATCAATGTTAAATTTTCTGAAGCTGATAATTATTCTCCAGTGATGTAAGAGAACGTCATATTCTGGGGAATTTCAGAGTAAAGTATTTGGGAGTGAAAAGGCAAGAATTATGCAACTTACCACTTACCAAATGAAGTGCTTCAGAAAAAATAATGTACCTGGAGAGAGAACAAAGGGTATAACAGACTGCATCTCCTCCTATATTTCCCAGCTTGGTTATTGGCAACATTCATGTCTCTCTCACCTCCATCACTATCTTGCCTGGGCCCCTTTTTCTCAACATTGTTAGAATTCCTTGAACCACCACTTGCCTAGACCTGTCCATTGTCACTTCGTGCTATTCCATTGTTATAGCTTCTTACCATTTTCCCTCTCCCATTCTCTCACCTCTCCTATATGCTACTTACAGTATTAGCTTTCTAAAAGTAATTGGTTGGATAACCACTGTCCTCTCTTCAGAAACCTGGGGTATTTCCCCATTGTCGTGGAATAAAGTCCAAACTTCATAGTGTGATGTTAAATGCCCTCCATACTCTGCTCCCAAACTCTCTCTCCAAATATATGTCCCATAGTAGCATTCCAGCACACCATACACTGGTTTAGCCACACTGGTCTCCCATCCAAGTGCTAACCAGGCCCGACTCTGCTTAGCTTCCGAGATCAGGCAAGCTCGGGCACATTCAGGGTGGTATATGGCCATAGACTAGCCACACTGATCTCATTACACTTCCCTAACTTGCAGAGTGCTCTGTGCATTGATCATCCCTCTATTTTCCACTTGGAATATCCCTTCATCCTTTAAGGTTCCATCAAAATGCTTCCTCCTCCATGAAGCTTTGCTAAATCCACAAAGACTGAATTCATTGTTCTTTCTCCTCTATTCCTCTTTGCTCTTTAGCCCTTAGGTTGCTTTTCCTGTATTATGATTAGTTACTTAAATATCTGTCTCCATAAATTTGAAGATCTGTGAGGGCTGGAAGCATGCATTAGCCACGTTTATAGCCTTCACAGGTTATGGTGCATAAAAAGTCTGTACCGGGTTGATTTGAGCTCTCCAGCACTCACTGTCTGTGCCTACTGACGTGACACTTGTTTACTGCCTGGCAGTCTAGCTCTTTGTAGATATACCTTATCTTTCCAGGAGGTCAGGAGCTTAGTTATGTTCGCTCTCATCCACATCACCTATCACAGTGTCTTTCAACTCAGGTGTTAATGAATGACTGAAGGGACAAATAAGTGATGCATTTTGGGGGTACAAAGAGAAAAAACTACGAGGCAAGCTTACTATTCAGACTTTACCGTTATTAATATCTCTTTCTGACAATAACCACACATGTAGAGTACGGTCTCCCTCAAAATGTATCTGCATCTGAGTGTGGGTATTTCAATGTGCCTATAAGTATATGTTACTATATACTATAAGATACGTCCTGATAATCTTCAAATCAAATTTTTGTAAAACTGCACGTATTGTGGAAGGCATCCAGTAGTTATTATCAATCCTCTCTTTCCTGGAGGGAGGGAGAGAAAAAACATTTTTTGAGCAAATTTGGATTTTCATACATCGGTTTTCTTTAAAACACAGTATTCCAGAATATTTGAGAAGCCAACAAACATCTCTGCCTGCTCTTTTTCGTGTGAGACCCAACTTGAGGTTTTTGGAAAATGGAGACAATAATAGGACAATGGCTCTCAACTTTTCTTCCCTCTTATTGCCCTCTAGGGAATTTTGCCATGCCAACAGAGGAATTTAAAATGTTTGCTTTTGGTTATAATAAGGGAAATGAAGAAGTCTGTAACCTCACCAGTGATGTCAGATTGAAAAACTTGTCACCACCAGCGTCGTTGAAAGGTAAAGAAAATCTGACCCAAGGTTCATTTTCCAGGACCTAGAGCCCCCTTTGCTCTCTCTAGGATGCCTCCAACGAAGGAGAAAGGCAGATAGGCATGGCCTGTTGTCTGTTTCATGTTGCCCGGACGGTGGGAAGTCTCCATCGTAGGCTTGGCTTTTCTGCTTCTAAGTAGGAGCCACCTTCCCCCTGGGCGTATTTTGGAGTCTGATGTGAACAAAGTTGTATTCAGCTGCATGAAAGAATGAGGTATAGTACATTTTCAATTAAACAGAAGTCAAATAATGAGAGAGAAAATCTAACACTGATGTCTCTTCTGCTATCTACTTCTATAAGAAATGACAAACAGAATTTATATCAGAGATGTACTATTATTATTCATTTCAAGAAACATGAATTTCAAGTAATGTTCTAGTATGCATTCAGCTCCAATCCATGCTATCAAATGTTTAGTAGAAGGATGATGTGGAAACCTCAAGTTCTCAGTCTTCAAAAGAGCATCATGTGTGTTTCACTCACTATGTCTACTCAAGTAGCAAAGTGGACTTGCTTGGTTCCTGCCGTGTTCTGCAGACAAGCTGAGAAGTTCATATTGTGTCCCCGATGAGGGTGATGTGATAGGAGGACATCCTGGTCAAGATGTCCAGGAAGCCACGTGAGCTACGATACTTGAGCTTAGATGAGAAGATGGAATAGGAGCTAGGAACTCTCTGACACTTGGTCATGAGCATAGAGATGGTAGTGGGGTGTCGCAAGAATGAATGAGTCCCTGGGGCAGATAGAGAGAAGCAACGGCTAGGAGCTTCCAGGAGACAGAGTAGCCAGTGAAGAAGACAGAGGGTGACCAGCTGGAGAAGTCAGCATAGAACATGGATGGCAGGCCCTACTCCTTTTGACCACTGTGGCCTCTCCTCTCCTCACACATCCTTGTCACACTTTAACACAAAAGCAGAACACCTTGAAATCAATCTTGTTGCCTGGCCAATGGGACACGTGTATTTTTAGGTCATAGTATCTCCATCTTTTGTGCTCCCAGTGCAAGTGCTTTCTGTGAAGTAGGTACTAAGCAAACACTTCTTTGGCTTAGCTTGGCTGGGTACTATTCTGTGAACTAGAGCTGTAGAGCAGGCCAGCTGTCCATCTCTAGAATGCTTATGATAAAGATGGATGACTGGTTTCCTCCTGTATGGCTTTCCACCTGCAGAAATCTCTCTGGTCCAGCTGGATAGCATGAGCCTGTCCCACCAGATGTTGGTGAGATGTGCTGCCATCACTGGCCTGACCTTCACTACTGAGTTGTTGTTTGAGATTCTCCCTTGTTGGAACATGAAGATGATGATCAACGCCCTGGCAACCCTCGTGGAATCCAATGTCTTCGATTGCTTCCGGAATCGCAAGGAGCTCCAGATGGCCCTAAAGCAGAACACGACTTCTTTTGAGGTGAATTATCGCTCCCTCTCTCTGAGGCCCACTGAAGGAATGGGTGAGTAGAGCCTGGAAGTGACCCCTATTTCTTTTAGTTAAAGGCACATCTCGAGAAAAGAACGGATCTGTGTTTTGTAGCAGGGGCTGATTTGTTGGCCACGGCCTGCCTGAAAACCCCTCTCTGTCCTCTCCAGCCCTTGGTGAGGAGGAGGAGCTTCGGGAGCTGGAGAGCGAGGTGATTGAGTGCCACATCATTCGATTCTGCAGGCCGATGATGCAGAAGACAGCCTACGAGCTGTGGCTGAAGGACCAGAAGAAAGCCATGCACTTGAAATGTGCCCGCTTTCTAGAGGAAAATGCCCGCAGGTGTGACCACTGCCGTAGTGGGGACTTCGTCCCCTTTCACCACTTCACGGTGGACATCCGGCTCAACACCTTGGACTTGGATACCATCAGGAAGATGGCTAGGTTCCATGGATTTCAAAGTAAATTTACTTCATTCCTAATTAGTCCTAACTATTCCTGGGGAATGTGGAGACTTAAGACCTAGAATAAGTGGGTCTGGACCATGAGGGTTTCAAGTCCCCTGAGGGCACAGGCACGGTGGGCGGTGGGCCTTCAGCAGCATAGATCCCCGAGGCAGGAGGAGTTGGGGAATAATGTGCAGCTGGGTGGGCAGAACCAGTCGCCCTCTGAGACTGCCAGGGAGGATTTGGGGATGAGGATTCTGGAAACATGTGGTGTGACCAGAGCTCAAATTAAAATGTCCAAAGACATAAAACAGACCTAACTTCACACCAAGGGATGGAATCCACGGAGGGTCAGGGGTGGGGAGTGCGGTCTGACATCATGAACTGGGAAGAAGAGTAAGACCCAAGAGGGAGGGGTGATTCTTGGCAGATAAGAACATTGTTGCTCAGTCAGTCTCGTTTGAAACGAGGTTCCAGTGGAAAGAGAGTGTGAGTGGAAGAGAATTAGGCAGGTACTAAGCAGGCCAGGGCCCCAGAAAAGAGGGCTTGGGTTCAGGGTAGGGATTCAAGACAATCTGAGACCCAAATAAAAAAGTTACAAACTGATAGCACAGACCGGCCACAAGATCTGGGACAACACGGTAGAGGGTTCAGGGGTGTAAGGGCCCAGGGACTCACCGGTGGGCACAGTGGGTGCCAGACTTAGGGCAGCGACGCCAACCCCAGCCCTCATTCGTGGGTGGCCAGGGAGCTGCCTGCCCTAGTCACAGGGCCTCGGTGATTATGGCTAAATTTGGTCGGGGAAGTAGAGGCTGCAAGTAGAGGACTCCTGTATTGTAAGGATATTAAAAATTTGGAAGAAATGTATGTTAAGTGCCTGGCACATATTAGGTACCAAATATTTATTCTCACTTATTCTCTGTTTTACCTGCCTTCTCCCTTCATTCTCTTATCAACCCTCCAAGGTGGAGGGTTATTTTCATTTTAACGATAAGAAAATTGAGGTTCTGGAAGATTAAATACTTTGCCCAATGCCACAGAATAAGTAATAGACTTTATTCAGTCCCAGGTCAGTCTAACCCCTTAGCTCATGCCCTGCCTGTCACACTTGAGCTTTCCAAAGTGCAGGACTGGATTTCCAGGTAATACTGGCCAAGGAGATTGGAAGAGGTCCATAGTTGAGCATTAGGTGTGAATCAGCGAGTGAGGAAGGTGACCCCATACTCGATCAGGGAGAAAGGAGCTTTGTACTGTGGTGTAAGCCTGTCGTTGACACTACACTAACACTTGCCAATCTCCTTTTTTAAAAAAGAGAAACCAGGCTTTAAATTCAGAGCCTTATAGAGTCTGTATGTACAGAGAGTCTATACGTGAAGCTTTCAAGTCCCTGAGGGCTTGGGCAGAAAAGTAGTGAGACTTCAGCAGTAGTCTCGTTCCCCTGGGGTGGGAAAGAAGTAAGGGGAATGGACACGTGGCTGAGCCCAGTGTTTACTGCTAGTATTTATTACAATTACCCTCATGTATTATATTTTTCCAAATTTGGAAACACGTTATTATTATCATTATACTTTTAGTAGTATACGTGTAACATGATATTGAGACTGAAATTCATACCAAGCACCAAGATGTGATGGATGTTGTAATCCAAAGCGAGGGAAATGGCTGGATATACAGAATCTATAAAGGAAATATTATAACTGAGAATCAGTTATAATCTGGGATCCTTCATCCACATTCAAGACATAACAATGAGGAAGAGTGTGGAGAGGGCCAGGATGTGTGGGGTGATCTGGCAAGAGCTGAAGAGGTACTGTGTACACTCAAGTGGGTGGCTTCCTTCATACCTCAATCCTAAGAAGGTGTCTTCCTTGGAATGGGTTAGAGGACACTGAAGATCTCATGCCTAAGACGGCTAAAGGGGCCTGTGGCTGCCCTCCCTGAGTTCGGGAAAGGATGTGTGGGGATTTCCCATAGAGCAGATATAACTCACCTGGGAGAAAAAGCCAGCCTGGAGCCATTTTAAGTTGTTCTCAAAAGTACCCTTGGGAGTGTGAGAAGACCCCAAGGAGTGGCCTGCTAAAATTAAAATACAGGGACTAAGAAGGCAGGCAGTAGAGGGCGAAAGAGGCTGCATGCCTAGATCAAGGGAGCTTCAGTGAAGGATCCAACACAGGGCCATAGCCAAAGCACCAATGAAAGCAGTGACAGTAGAGAGTAGACTGCCAGAGATAAGAGGAAAGGGAAAGGATATTCCAGACTGTGTGGGATCCATGAGTCTTACTTTATATATAATAATATAAGTGATGTAAAATACATATTAATAAATTATGTATAAAATACATATATGATTATGTATAAAATACATATACACACATATATGTATTATATGTATTTATATAAAATACATATATAATATTATACATGGTTTGATTTATTTGGTGAGGGGTAAAATCAGCTGACAGCTAGCAGACGGGTCAATCTGAGCAGTTGGGTGGTCTTAAGCAGGCTGGCTAGGGCCATCAGAGAAACCAACTCACTATTTTGGGTTCTCCAATGTGCTTTAACAGCTTTGCTCTGGAGCCCATGTGACCAGATGTCTCTGAGTCATGTCTGCTGACACGCTTCCCTTAGCACCTCTACCTGAGTGAGGCCAGGACCCTATTATTTCCCTTATCAGAATTTTTCACCTGTTTAAAAGGCTATCAACTCGATACCTTTAAATAGAGACATTTTTAGAGTTCCTGAAAGTTCTGCCATAAAAGCAATAATCCCATGGCTGACTGCCGTGCATACCTTTGGGAGTTTTTCTCCGGGGGGAACATTTTTAACTCAGCTGTTCTTTCTGGTCATTACCTCCATATACTAAGTGGTGTGTTGTGCTGCTTTTTACAAATTCAAATTGTGACATTATCTGTTTTAGTCTTGCCATGGTAGGTGAGAATGTAATGCTGTTATACCACTCTTCGGCATCTCTCCCCTGATATTGTTATAGTACCATCATTAGATAAATCAATCAAGTGTTTACATTAAGACTGTGTAAATGCTGTCCACTAGAGAACCAAGTAATATACTGTGAATAGATTTCTTAACAAAAGCTTATTTTTCTTGGAGTTTCTAGGAAACTGTTCTTTGGGAAACTTTTGTTTTTGCAATGTCTTCCTTATAAGATCCTACTTCAGTCTTGGTTGGACACCCTGTCCTTTACCCCTGAATCTCCCAAAGTGTGGGATATGCTTTTCGGTAATATTGGAACAGGACATAATTGTAAAAAGTTCAGGGACACAGCATTAGATATGAATCAGATAATGAGGAAGTTGATTCCCCTTTCAATTCTCTTTCAATCCTCACATCCTTCCTAAAAACTTATTTTCTGAATCTTGGTCCATTCGAAGGATCTGTAGCCCACAGGCTCCCTCCTGGGCTCCTTCCTCCCACTTTCTCCACCTATGTCTTCAGTGACCGCTTCTTTCATTCCTTTATCTTCTGGACATGCCTTTTCACCCCACGTTTCATTGACTCGTTCAGCAAGTATTTATTGGGTTTCTGACATGTGCCAGACATTGCTCTAGGCACCTGAGATACACCAGGGAACAAAACAGCATTCTGCTGGGGAGAAGTAGACAATGGAGGAAAAAAACCTAACAAAGAAGTAAATTCTGTAGTATGTGTAAGTGATCCCAAAGAGAAAATGAGAAAAGAGTTATTGGGTAGGGCAAGGGGGATTCGGCATGCAGTGCCATGAGGATAGCCCTCAGTGGGAGGCGGGACAAAGGAAGTGAGAGATGCTGCTGGATGGATGGCTGGGGAAGAGCATTCTAGGCAGAGGGGACAGCCAGTGTAACGATCCTGAGACAGGAATTGACCCCTTCCAATCTGTACCTTAATTAAAAATTATTTTATTCTCTTTTTAATGGGTAAAATGTCCTGGCCTTGGAGGTCAGGAGATAAACAAAAGAGGTTAGCTTTTCACCTTGAAGTCTTATTTCTGAGTCTTTGAAACCACAAGGTGAGCAAGTGGTATCTACTTTTCTTCTTTCTTCTGAGAACCTATAAGAATTTTGCATATTTCTTTTCTTTTGGTGTTTACAGATCCTATTTGAAGAAGGAATTTTTAATATTTCCTTCATAAATGAAGAAAATGGAGAGCTAAAAATATGATTCTCCCAACGGGTACATGATCTAATGACAAAAACTATATCTTGTATACTCTGACTTTATTTGCTTTATTTAACCAACATTGTTTTTCTCAGATTGGGATAGGAATGAAGGAAAGAAAAGAATCAAGGACATTGCCTAGTTTTTTTGCCTTGAGAAAATGGATATATACGCTTACTAAGCTAGGGGAAATGTTGGTGGATATAGGTTTATGGAAGAGAGATTCAAGAGTTCCGTTTGGATCATGTTAATTTTGAAATTGGGCATCCAAGTGGCGGTTGCCAAGGAGGCACTTGGATATGTGAGTCTGTAGTTAAGGGTGGATGTCAGGTCTTAGAAACGTAAAACCTAAAGTTATTGGCATATGAATAGAATTTAAAGTCACAGGCAGATGAAATTACCTAGGGAGAAATTGGATGGAGAAGGGAGCCCACAGTCAAACTGAGGCTTACCAACAATTGAAATGTTGATAGAGGAGTAGGAGCCAGCAAAGTAGGTAGCCAGTGAGGGAGGGAACCAAGGGAATGGATGTTACGAAAGCTGGTAGACAAGGGAGTGGTCCCTTATATATAGTAAATGATGCCAAGGAGTGTAATAAGATGTGGACAGAGATGTAACCTTTGGATTTGGCGATTTGGTTGTCAACGATAAGCCTGACAAGAAGAGTTTTAGAGGAGTAGGAGATTAAAGGCATAATTCAATTTATTCAACTTGTAGTCACTAGAGATGAACTAGACTACAGACTAGGGGAGGTGGGCAAATTAATCCTTATGCAGTGTGATAAAGGACTGTCATAGAGGTCTGCATGGAGTCAGTGGGCACACACGAGTTGAGGCACTAATTCTACGGGGCTTTCAGAAGATGGTGATAACAAGATGTTCAAACTGCACTTTATGAATTAGAGGACCTGTGGAGTAATGCATTCCCCTTGGAGTCAGGAGACCTAGGTTCTGGTCCTACCTCATCACTAACAGATATATGATCTGAGACAAGTCCCTTCCTCTCTCCAGGGTTCTTCCTTCTCCCCAAATGGAGAAGTGGCTAGATTCGACAATCCTCATTTGTTTTCTGTCTTAAGATCATTATGGAATTTTCTAACCTATTGAAGTCTAGATAGACTGAAGCTTTTAAATTCAAAGCTCTCTGCCCTTAAGTTAGCTTTTTGGGGATGTTACATTTACATGTCTGTATTTCCCCATTAGAAGCTGACGTCCCTTTCCTCAGCATCATTAATTCATAGTTTGAGTTATTGCAGGGTAAATTAGTTAGGATAGTATTACCATCTATAACAAACCCCAGCATCTGAGTGGCTAACACAATAGGATGATCGCGTTTTCCTGCCCATGTAATGATGCAGTGAGAGTTTTGACAAATGGCCCTGTACACAGTCATTCAGGGACCCGGGCTCCTCCCATTTTGTGGATTTGCTCCTATCCCGTAGGTCCCCACAAGTAATTTGTTTTCTTGTGGAAGGAAAAGGTGAAGATATCTAACCACCTCAGTTCAGAGGTGACATATATTACTTCTGATTGAATCCCATTTTTTTAAAACTAAACACGTGGCTTTACCTAAGATGCAGTGGGGAATGGGAAATGTAGATCTTGGCTGGGCAACAAATTTATCATGGAAGGGGAAAAGGAATCCCTGTTGGGGGGTGGGTATAGCTCAATGGTAGAGCACATTCTTACCATGCACAAGACTGTAGGTTCAATGTCTGGTGCCTCCATTTAAAAAAAAACAAGGAATCCTTGGTGAATACCAGACATCTCAGCCAATGACCTATACAACTCATTCGTGTGTCTGTTTTCCAGCTGAAGAGGAGATCACCTTTTCCAGAATAGAGACTCTTAAGAAATCTGAAGGATTTTCTGGAAATCCCAGGTACATGCACCGATAATTATTTAGGGGGTGAAGCAATGAATAGTTGGCATTAAGTGAGAACACTGTTAGAGTCACTTGTCTGGTCAGTCCTTCGGGCCTTTTAGGTACAAGTGGGCTATGCTGGAGGGTCGGCGTGGTGAGTTTCTTCAGTAGTTACCTACATTAGGTTTTCTTATCTTGCTCTTTTATTTGTTTTTGAAGATCTTTTCATAGCAAAAACTATACTATATCTACAAGTTATTACCCTTATTTATTTCTGCATTTGGACAGTTTTGAAGAAGTAAGAGAAAAGATCTTGACTTTCTTTGACATCGTTATAACAAGAATGAGGACATCTGAGGAAGACATCACCCCTCTGGAAAACTGCCAGTGTGAAGAGATCGTGGAGATTGTCATCATTCCTCTGGCTCACCATTTTCTGGCTTTGGGAGAAAACAACAAAGCCTTGTATTACTTCCTAGAAATCGCATCTGCTTATCTCATCTTGGGTGATAATTACATGGTAAGCTGTTTCTATCCAGATTCCCTTCACCGCTGAAACAGCGTTCAGACCCCAGAGCCAGCAGGAAAGCTCTAGTGTGCTTTTTTTAATTGCTTCATGTTCTTGATTCCTACCAACACACCCCTTTCCTTTGAAAATCAAATTGCTCAGAAGGGAAATGACCTGAGACTGAGAAAAGAAAGTCAGAACAAACTGCAAAACTACCATTATACATCATTTAAAATATTGCCACCTTTAGAAACTTGCTGTGAATTGTCTACCAATATGGGATCCCTGGTCTTAGCTCTTCAGTTTCAGCGGAGTCTTTCTGAGAAACATCCTGGCAACATTTGCCCTTTGTCTTCCCCAGATACCTGTGAGCACAAATTCCCATAGGTCTTTGCATAAGCACAGATCCGGTTTTAATCTAGTGATCCCCAATGGTGCTCACTCACTCTGGTCTTCATGTAATTTGTGCTAAATTATTATACATCCCTTTAGGCCACCAAAGCACTAGTGAAAGTTTCTCCAGGATAATTGTAAACAGGTTTCCAGGGCAACATGCCCTCAGAAATGGGGGAATTTGATACATATAATGAAATAAAAAGAATTCATTGGTAAGTAAGTTGGGAAGCGCTGAGCTGAATAAAGCTAAATAGGTTTCTGTACTACAGGTATCTCAGGGCCTTAACATGCTGAGGTACATAGAAATCTCCCAGAAGGTTGGGCTAGGACTGGGCCATAGTGTTTCTCTCAAATGTATTGGACGTTAGATCGCTTTTCATAGAGCAGCTGGCTGGACTAAGCTTCCATGAAACTCACGTGAGGAAATGCCTTTCAGGGCCTCGCTTCATCTGACTCCAGCCAGCTTCAGGAAGAGCTTCGCACGCCTGGGTAGCCAGGACCACCATCCTTCATTCCTGCACTGGTGGTTCCATATTTCACAGTTGCTGTTGATCACAAAAGCCTAATCAACCCTCACACCTTAGATTTATATAAAATTTTGAAATAAAACCATTAAAAATGTCAGTAAGCCCTGGTTCTTTCAAGTCTTTGTGTTAAAGAATGAAAGTCTCCTTGGAGCCGGGGGAGGGTATAGCTCAGTGGCAGAGCGCATGCTTAGCGTGCAGGAGGTCCTGGGTTCAATCCCCAGCACCACTATTAAAACTAAATAAATAAGTAAGTAAACCTAATTATTCGCCCCCTCCCCCAAAAGGATGAAAGTCTCCTGTGCATACTTTATACACACATGTGAAGGAAGGAGTGATGTGGCCAGCGGGTCCCAGGAGAAGAAGGTTTAGGTAGCCTTGGAGGGCAACTTGCTGTTCCTCTGCGTACCCCCATCTCGCTCTGAAGGGGGTGGTGAATGATCAGGAAGACAGTGACTGGAAGCAAAGCCCCAGTAAAAGGTCCCAAAGCATGCCTCTCCCAGTGAGACAAATCTGGTAGGACCGGCGCTGGTGGCCAACTCGTGTCTCCTTCTCTCTGCCTCCCACACATACTCGTTAGGCTGTGCTAGACTTGGGGACACTGCCTCACCTTATTTTGCTCTTCAATTCTGACCTTACCTTGGTGTTCCCAATTACCAAGACACTCCTCACGATGTCACAGAACGTTGAAGATGAAGTGAGGAAGGTTGCCCGGGGCCTTACCTTCCTCTTCCACCTCCCAAAGATGGCCCTGGCAAAGGAAATGGGGGTGGTTCATAACGTACTCCAAAGGTAGAGGCTGGCTTCCCATAGATGTGGGGATGCTCTCAGGGGCTGTGAGTAAAGTGTTGGAAATAGGGAGGTTGGGGGTGGAATTACTTAAAGAAGGAAATTGCCTTAGAGAAAACTTCAGGAGAGGTGACTTCTGTGACAACATGAGGAAAGGGAGAGATTTCTAGATTCATCCTCTAGCATGAGAGATTCAGTGGACCAAGATGGACATGAAGGTGACCTACATCTTCAGTGGGAACTTTCCCTGTCACTTCTGTCTAGAGCTTGAAGGCCCTTTCTAATCAGGAGCTGAAGGTAGAGAGGTGGAGGTGGGAGCTGGAGTGGTCCTGCTTCTATTTCTTCAGTAGAGACTGGGGCAATGGCCCCTCTGTGGTCCAGATCCCTGCTGACTCAACGCCTTCTACTCCTTGTGCTGGTTGCAGGCTTACATATATTTGAATGAGGGAGAGAGGATGCTGAAAACTCTCAAGAAGGAAAAATCTTGGAGTAAGACTTTTGAGTCAGCTACCTTTTATACCCTCAAAGGTCAGGTAAGAAACCATTAAAAACATGATTACCCTGTTATTTACCATTGAGGCTTTACATAGAAGAAGTAAAAGTCATCCCTATACATTCTGCATCCTCCGCCCATCCTCTGCCACACATCCTTTCCAAGACTCCAGAACCCCAAGCCCCAGGACTCAAACCTCCTCACCATCATTTGCCAATAGCAAGATCTGCCTTATCCTCTCGCTTGACATCTTTATGAAATATTTTTCTATCAACCTCCCAAAATGGACATGAATGGATAGACATTTCCTTAGGGGTAGATGATGAACAAGGAGGATGCTAAATCATAGTCATTTAAACATTTTTCATGTATACATCCAATAAATGTTTACAGTTATGCTCGGCACAGGGGGATTTTGTTCCTGGGCCTTAAATGACCTTTTTTGTTGTTAAGATTCCAAAACTATGTGATTTTGGAACATACCAACCAAGTCTGGAATCACTGCCTTTCTTCTTTTCCTCTCTTCCCCTTTCTTCTCCTTGTAGGTCTGTTTCAACATGGGCCAGATGGTGATTGCCAAGAAGATGCTAAGGAAGGCCCTGAAGCTCCTCAATCGAATCTTTCCTTACAATTTAATTTCCTTGTTTCTTCAGACACATGTTGAGAAAAACAGACACTTTCATTATATCAATCAGAATCAGCAGGCCCAAGAGAGCTCACCTCCAGGGTAAGGAAGACGCTGGGGAGAGCTGGGTGTCTCATCTCACCACACGTAGTCCAACAGTCAGTCCCCAAAGTCTGGGCCTCTAGGGGGCGCAAGGACTCCTCGTGGCTCATGGGTAGGAGAGGGAGTAAGTAGGGGCGGGACTCCCAGGCCAGGGCTGGGTTACCTCAGAACAACTTAACAGACAGCTATTGCCAAACGGAGTTCAGGTGACAAAAACTTCAGGGAGCCCTTTTCAAGGTGAGCTCCAAGCCCCTTCCTACTCATCTCACCCACTAACCCCTCTGGCCATCCATGTTCCAGCGGGAATCTGCACCACCTATTCCTAGATCCTCAATCACAAGCCCTCTTTCAATTAGGTGCTAAAACCCTGGGTATGCTCCCTGCCCCAAAGATACATGGCAGGCCCTCAAGACATCTGCCAAAAGACAAAACGGCCCACCCAGTTTTGTGTCTCTTAGGATATGTGGGTTAAATGGCGGTCGGTATCCATCGGTCAAGATTATATCATTAGGGATTTGTACTTTTCAATGTATGTAAATTTTATCTATAAAAGAACAACAGAAAAAATAATGAGGTGGGGTGGGGAAGGGAAGCAGTGAGTATAAGGACGGGTGCAATAAGAATGTTGATAGTTGTTGAAGCTGAGTGCTGGGTGCATGTGGTTCATTATATTTTTGTTTTACTGTGTGTGCATGTTTGCAATTTCCGACAGTAAAAGTTTTTAAAATATATTCTACCTACCTAGCAATTCATACCAAGGGAGAGGCCACCTAACTGGGGATCTGGAGAGCTGGCAGAAGAAATCTCTTCCATCTTGGGAGAGGCCAGCAGCAATATTCCTACAGGTTCTGTCTGAGACACAAACATCTATTTCTTTAAGCAAGTTTCTGCAATTCATTTGCAACCCCACGAAAAATGGCCTTCCCCAGTTTCCCAAAAGCATTCCCTTGACTGTAGGGGTGGAAATGAGGTGGAGCTGAGCTCCTTTGTGGACTGAGGACAGGCTCCCAGGAATCTAAGCCTGCTGCCTCGGGAGACACCAGGATAGGGAGGAAAGGGGAGAGGTTCAGGAGTGATCTCTCTGAGAGGTAAGAGACAATTGAAGTTTGGATCACAACTCCAAGGGTGGCCAGGTGAAATACAGGAGGCCTAGTTAAATTGGAAGTTCAGATCAACAATGAATGATTTTCTTTTTTTAGTGTACATTATATCACACAAAATATTTAGGACATATGCATTCCAGAAGAATTATTCATTGTTTGAAATTCAGATTTAACTGAGCATCCTTAAATCTGACAAGCCTAATTTACAACCACACTTTGTAAAAGGAATAAGAAGTACCCTCACAAAGGGAGAAGGTGAAAAAGTGATGCATGAGAAAGAAACTACAGAACTATTGGCTTAAAATTACTCTCAGATCAAAAGGTTCTCATCTCAAGAATGAGGCTAATAGGAAAGAATATTTAATGTCAGAGTTTCTACAACTTCATGAACTCCCTATATTATAAGGGGTTTTACCTTCTCCATGTTTCCTTTAGAATCTTAAAAAAAAAAAATTACCACAACAGAATATGTGTCATAAGTGTCTAAAGTACTTGGAATTATTCTGAACTCTAGGATATCTCTTCCTTCTCATCTTTATTCAGAATCTACATTTGATAGCCATTTCTTGATTTTTCAGTTGGTTTTTGGTGGGGGGCAGGTAATTAGGTTTATTTATTTTTAATAGTGAACCCAGGACGTCATGCATGCTAGGCACACACTCTACCCCTGAGCTATGCCCCACCCCTCATAGCTATTTCTAATGATATTTTGTTTTCTTGGCTTTGTTAAATCACTAATATTGCAGCCAGTTCAGGATTCCATTTTTATCACCAGTAGAGAGGATTCAGGGCTGCATTATCAGTTAAATGACTTGTTGAGGCTGAGACCAAGACCCCGAGCATTTTCGGTAGGTGCTCAGCCATCGTCCCCTTGAATACTTCCAGCACAGGAAGCTCACCATCTCCTGTGACGTCCCATTCCGTTGTTGGAATGTAGTCTCTTTGGGCTCTAGAAGAAAACACCGCAGACTGAGTGGCTTATAAACAGCTAAGTTTATTGCTTACAGTTCTGAAAGGCTGGAAGCCTGAGCACCAGCATGATTAGGGGAGAGAGGGCCCTCTTCGGGGTCACAGACTTTGTATCCACACATGGTGAAAAGAGTCCAGGGAACTCTGTGAAATGAATCTCTTTTATAAGAACACTAATCCCATTCATGAAGTTTCCACCCTCATGTTCTAATTATGTCCTTAAGACCCCGCCTACTATTACCATCACTTTTGAGTTAGAATTCAACATATGAATTTGGAAGGGGGAAATGCATTCAGACCACAGCAGACTGGAGTTGTTTAAAATGTTCCTTTCCTTTTTTGAGCTGAGACCCTAGCTCCTGACAACAATGTGTAATGCAGGAAACCACACGCTGGACTGGCCGGGCTGGAGGTGGACAGGGCTGGAGTCCTGGCACCACCACATTCTAGCTGTGTGACTTTGAGTTAATTACTTAACCCGTCTGAGTCTCACCTTCCGTTTATGTAAATTGGGGTTAATTATTCCTTCCCTTCTTACAGGGTTGTCATCAGAATCAAATGTGATGAAGGATATAAATGTGCTTTTTAAAATAACTTCATTTAAATGGCAATGCCCTGACAGGGGACAGGTGATTTACATAGATTATCTTAATTCATCATCACAAAGTAGGTATTATGGTCCCCACTGTGCAGTGGAGAAAATGTGCATCATAAAAATTAACGTACATGTTAATTTCCACATAAAGGAAACAGACCTCAAACTCAAGCCTGTTTTGATGCCCAAGCCAGTAGTGAGAACTCTGCACCTGTGTTCCCCTCAAGCATGCTGGTGACAATACCTTCTTTTTATGTCCCCTGTGTATACTCTAATAGGAAGAAGAGGCTGGCGCAACTTTACCAGCAAACCACCTGCTTCTCCTTGCTGTGGCAGATCTATAGCTTAAATTACTTTTTTCACTACAAGTATTATAGCCACTTGGCAGCAATGATGCAAGTGAACACTGCACTGGAAACTCAAGATGACTTCCAGGTAGGGTGTTTTTGTAGCTGCTTTTTACATTTCTGAATCTCATTTGAAGAGGAAAGCCTAGTTAGTGAAAGCCAGTGGAAATTCAAAATCATGAAGATTTAATAAAAGCCTTCCTGGCTGGCTGGTTCTGCTGAGCCATCAGTTCTCAAACATTTTGGTCCCAGGACCCCTTTATGCTCTTAATGATTGCGGACCTCACATGGCTTTTATTTCTATAGGTTGTAGCTATTGATATTATCATATAAAAAACAAAAACTAGATAATAAAAAAATAATTTGTTGAAGAAAATAAACCCATTACATATCAATATAATAAACATCTTCATTGAAAAAAAAAAAACCTCATTTTCCCCGAACAAAAAATTTAGTGAGAATTGTATGTACTTCATTTTTGCAAATATCTTAGTGTCTGACTTCACAGAAGACAGCTGGATTCTCCATCTGCTCCTACCTTCACTCCCTTGTACTTAATTCTCCCCCGGAAGACTCCGCATTGTACTTTTGAGACAATAAGGGTGAAAAAGGAAAAGGTAAAAGGATAATTCTTTTTAAAAAGATAAAATCATGACTCACACAAATACAAAAAAACACGTCAAAGATTTTACTGAGCTCATTAAAATTAGTGAGAGAACTAGTAAGATGTTACAGCTGGTCCCAAGGAAAATTTGATTTATGAATGGATGCATAACTAGTCACAGGGCAAGAATCTATTCTACTGAACACTTATGTTTCTATGAAAAAGAATAATTTACATTATTATGGTTTCTACTGCATGCAGAATTGTAAAGCAGCCCAAAGACAATGAAAGGCAGAGACAACCTTGATGAGTGAGCTAGACAGGACACCCACTGAATTTTTTGGTTTATTTTGGCCCATTTCAAGATCTTTCACTCTTTTTCCTGACACAAATAATCACTTGATGTCATGAAACTAGCTTTACTTTCTTTGTGTAGTTTTTGAAAGGGTCTCAGGGACCCCAAGGAAGTACCTGTTTTCTCGTTTACACCCTGAGTTCCTAGAATGGTGTCCAATACATAGTAGGTACTCGACAAATATTTATTGAATGAAATGGTTTATTCCTCCTCTACCCTTGGGGCTGTCTCCTAAAAATGTGATGGAGTTGGGGGGGCGCGAGGGAGACTAAAATGGAAAAGTCACAATTGGAAAGTGAATCAAAAGATACTTGTTAACAAGAGGGCAGTAACTGAGGGCAGAAGAGCTGGGGAAAATGCTTCCCTGGAGAAAGAACCAGAATGAGTGCCCAGAGGGAAGTTTCTAGGACTCCACCTATTTGTGGTGTGACCACTGGCAAATCATAGAACTCTGAGCTTTATATTTTTCTCATAAAGTGAAGCAGTTCAGTTGGGTTCAATTCTCTTGGTCCAAATACCAGAAGAACTAGGCTTCATTTCAGCTCTGATTTTTCATTTGCCCAATGATCCTGTCTTCCACCACAAGTCCTTCCCTCCTGGTAGGGTTATCTGAAACATGTTTTAATCAAGGAATAAAGGAATTCCTTGAGATTCACTTTGTGGTTTAACAAGCACCCACAGACTTGCCTATAACACAGAATTTTCGGACTGTTTATTTTCTGCAATTTGAGGAATTTCACGAAAAAAGTTCCCTTCTCCAAAATGCCTCCCCCACCATTCTACCATGAGGGAGTCTGTATTTCTCCTGTTTGCAGTTTCTATGTATTCTATTTTTGTTTTTGTTTTTCATAATGAACTGTCACTTTAGCAAGAACTGTTTTCCCCTCATCCTTCTCTAAGCATTTATATCTTGATGCAACTTTATCATTTTAGAGTTGTTTGAGTAACCAACTTCTCTTAAATCTCCCAATTAGGTTTAGAATTAGTCCTTATATATATAGTTTTAAATCAAACAAAACAAAACCAACCTTCCTTTGCTATTAAATAACAAAAGTAACACATGCTGTTATAACAAATTAAACATCACAGAAATGCATGCAGTAAAAAGCAAAGTTTCTCTTCTTAAATCTCTCCTTCAACCCCAGCGAATATGTAACTGCTATTTACAGTTTGGAGTGAATCCTTCCAGGCTTTTTGCTATGCAGTCATATATCCACATACTGCTTTTATTTTTCCTCCAAGTTAAAATTCTTCTATTTTGTTTAAGGATGCTCTGAGGGCAAAAGGGGCCATTGAGCTTGTCCTGGATCATGCGTTAAATAGGTGGCAGAAACTCAACTTAATTTCTGTGTCGAGGCCCATGGTTTGGTCAAATGTCCAGCTCCATTTCCAAGCTTCGTAAATCCCTGTTTACTGGCAGGCGTTGGATGATATCCTGGACTTTCTGCTTTGGGTTCCATCCCAGTCTTGCCCTGCTCTCCTTCTCTCACTGCTGCCATTTCAGATCATTAAGGCCTACCTGGACTATTCGCTGCACCACCATCTGGCTGGCTACCAGGGCACATGGTTCAAATATGAGATCATGGCCATCGAGCACATCTTCAACCTCCCCGAGAAACGCAAGAGCATTGAAATCGTGACCTACGTGGCCCATGCGCTTAGCTACATCAAGCTCCTAATGGGTGACTTGGACTTGGCCATTGACTTAGGTAAGGGCTGGCTGGTCAAGAAGGGACGTGCAAACACAAGTAATGCCCAGAAATAGACTGGCATTGTTTTCTTCCCAGGCTCTCGAGCCCACAAGATGTGGGCATTGCTTCAGAATCCTGACAAACACTGTCTGGTCCTCTGCTGGCTTAGTAAATCCTTATTCTTGAAAAACAGGTATTTATCTTAAGGCGTGTTCCAAAATTAGGGAAAGAAAGCCATATTAGTGGAATGTTCTGGGTTCACTTCACCCTGGCATCGAGTGGGGGAGGGAGCACAGTTTACCCTAAGCTGATGTAACTGATGACCGTCATCCTTTGGAAACCACCGCTCTGGTCCAGTGACTGGAGGAAAGTCAGACAGTCACCCCCACTGTGGAAATCAGGCCTCCGTCACTGCCAGGTGACAGAAAGGGAACGGTCTCACAGGGAAGGCAAATGCCCCGAGGACAGCAACCAAGACCAGAGACCCAGGCCAACATGGACTGACTGCAGTCACTCTGATAGAGAAGTCTGTGAAAGAAAAGTTTGAACAAATTGCCCATTTGAGATTTAGGAGTGGGTTTGAAGTCTGTTTAACTGATCGCGTTTGGTCCCGAATCGCTGGGCAGGACTGAGACCAGGACTGGACTTCCTCACCTCCCGCCTATCACATTTTAATCCTACCACTTTTCCTTTCCTGTAGATACAAGCAGCTGATCCAGGTGCTGGGGTGGCTGTGGGATCTTTCTGTAGCAGAAGAGCACATTTTCAGCAAGGCCTTTTTCTATTTCATATGCCTGGACATCATGCTTTATTCTGGTGAGCCTGGCCTTGGAATTGATAAGAAACTGAGGGCATGACACTTGTGTAGGTGTGGGGTGGCAACTATCAGGATGGGGGCTCTGAGACTACTGGGTTTCTGGCTAGGACAGGGAAGGGGGAAGAGCCTGGTGTTTGGAGCTCAGGAAGCTGTCTAGAAGGTGCAAGGATTTTAAGGGACCAGCAAGGAGGAGAATTTAGAATTTAAGCTGCCAGTTAAAGTGTCAGATTAATTTGCACACAAGAGACACTGACTGATATTGCCACTATGTGCCTTCTATTAGGGTATTTAATTTTTAGCAGGGTAGACTTGGCGACTTCATGCTTTAAAATGAAGGTTTGGGCTGCTAATGTGAGGGTTCCAGGCACTGGTAGCTGTTGGTGATTCGGACAACAAATTCTTCCCTGGTAACTTTCAGGTGAGACCAGGTAGGAAGGCTTCAGGGTACATAATAAACCAGAGGGGCCAACCTCAGCATTCTTTTTCCGACAGGTATTTTCAAAGGGGATGCAGGTATCACTGCCAATGAGGGACGTATGGGTAGGAAGACAAAGTCCCAGCCTGCGCTGAGGCTGACTCCTCAGTCTCAGGCAGGGAGGGTTGGTTTAAAGCCCACTCCTGCTCAGTTGATACTGCGGCATTCTATCGTACATGTGTCAGCTTCCACAAAAGCAGGGACTCCGCCAACACAGGGCATTGCAGTCACCTGGTTGATGTGATCCAGGGGACCCTTTGGATTCATAAAGTCATCAGAGACAGTGGAAAATTCTCCTCCATCCACCAGCCAGGCTCTCCCGTTTCTCTCTTTTTTAGGCTTTGTTTATAGGACATTTGAAGAATGTTTGGAATTCGTGTATCAAAATGAAGATAACAGGATCCTCAAGTTTCAGAGTGGAATCCTCCTGGGACTTTACTCGTGTGTTGCTATCTGGTAACAATATGTTACAGCCCCAAGTCCCCAAACTTGGAAATGTTGAATCCTGAAATGTTGAATCTCCTGAGATTTTTTTTTTTAGAAGAAAGACAAGAAAGGAAAAGTAATTTAAATTTATACATGAGGCAGACTGAAGGTGACAGAGTGGATTTACACTGAAAGACACCTTAAGGGTCACCTAGTTCATCCCTCTCAACCAAGGCCAGAAAAGCCATCCCACCTCCATTGTATTCAGTGTAACAAGCATTTATTACGTGTGTATCATGTTGAGGTAATACGGAGATGAATAAGAAAAAGGAGTCCTTGCTTCTGAGAAGTGCTGGTGTTTGAGGGAGACTCATAAGTAACACTACTTGCCCCCTCCCCCAAGATCTAATCATAATCATTGATAATTAAGCTGATGCTGTAGGATATGGCTTAGATCTGCAGGCAGGTGGGCTTCCTAATATTGAATCCCAGGATTAGATTTACCCATCAGCAGCGGGCAGTTCTAGGAAACTCCATCCCCACCCCAGCCCCCTCAAGGCAGGCAGTGCCACGCCCTCTGTTGGTCTCTCTGGCTCTCAAAGTGAAGAAGAGGGATAGCTACCAAGGTGCACCTGCCTAATCCCTCCCCCAAAGTTATCATCCAAGTCACTAAGTCACTCCTCATCATTGGGGGAGGGAGCAGGACTGGGAAAGAGATGAGGTGCTTTGCCCCCGTGGAACTGCCTTACATAGAAGGAAACTTCAGGAGGGTGGGAGAAGCAGGCCTCCTGTACCTCACGAACCCATTAAGCCTGAGGCTGAATCTCTCTAACCTGTTAAATTTTTTCTTTCTGTCTTTCTTTTTTAATTGAAGTACAGTCAGTTACCCTGTGTCAGTTTCTGGTGTGCATCACAACGTCCCATAGACCGGTTATCTTATACAACAGAAGTTTGTTTTCTCATAGTTCTGGAGGCTGAGATGTTCAAGATCAAGGTGTTGGCATCTTTACCCTGTTACGTTTTTAACTCAATAAGCCTGCAGCTGGGGCCTCCGCTTCAAGGAAGTAGGTCAGGAGTCAGGCTCCAGAACATTAATTGAAGGACTTAAGTCATTCCCTCTTCTACTTCACACCTCAAATTGTACAGGCAGCCGTGTTGTCCAATATTTAGAGATTTTGTGCTAAGATTCAATGACAATATGAAAACATTCCAATATAAAGTCCTGCAAACTAGAGCAGTTCCAAATTTGAATAGAAATCTCCTCTTACTATAAAATGCATTGGGAGAAATGAAAGTCCCCAAACTCCCTTGCCAGCTAAAGTCAAAAGAAAGTAAAGTTCAATGTCAAATTAACTTGCCCATGTGAGTTAAAAGTTCAAGGGATCTAAAGTCCAAAATGCGTCCTCATTTCTTATTCCGCTCTATCTCACCAGAGGAGTTCTCTCAACAGCTGTGGCCCAGGCCAATGCTGGTCGCATTTGATGGGCATAGGAATCCTCTGCTGGGTTTATTAACTCAGTTTCCTGGCCCCATCCCCAGAGTCTGTCTCATTCAGTAGATCTGGATTTGACCAGAGAGTTTGCATTTCTCAAGAGCACTCAGATGACACTGAGGACACTAGGCAGTGGCCCACACTTTGAGTAGTCCAGTGTAGCCTAGGTGCTCTCTCTTTGGAATCAGAGCAATTTCTTCAAGCCCCAGAGTGAATAGCTCCAAGTGTCTGATCTGCTTCACATTTTAAAGAGTCCAAAGAGTTGAATAAATGATGGCTAACATTGCTCAAGTGTTCCCCCCGATTCTATTCACGTCAAATCATCAAAAAACTATTTATTTTCCCTGAATTGGTCAGTGGCAGGCTTCCAGAGGCACAGGTACCTCCAGAGAGACCCATTTCAGAAATGCAGCCCATTCCAAGGATGCTACTGATTTTTCTTACTCTTCTGTGGTGGTACAGGTATGCCAGACTTCAGGAATGGGACAACTTTCAGGTCTTTTCCAATAAAGCCAAAAGTCTCGTGTCAAGAAGAACCCCCACAGCTCTTTACTGCGTCAGCATCTGTAGGTACATGGAAGGGCAAGTTCTCTACCTTCAAAAGAAAATTGAAGAACAATCTGAGAATGCTCAGGACATTGGAGTCGACATACTCAAGGTAAGGCCTATTCTCTGGTCCCCAGGATAAGTCACTCCTCATATGGATTTTTCTCTACCACCTCTGACAATTATTTTCTCTGATGACAGAAGTTATACATGCTTATAGTGCAACTCTCTCCCCCAAATTAGAAGAAAATATAAATTGCCCATAACCTTACTACTCAGAGACAACCATTTTTTACATATTTTTTTCTCTCTCTCCCTTTTCTTTGGCTGAAGTCTGATTATTACAGTGTTGTGTCAGTTTCAGGTGTACAGCAAAGTGATTCAGTTATACATATACACACATACATACATATTCCCTTCTCAGATTATTTTCCATTAGAGGTTACTAACCACTTTTTACATGTTGAGACATCATTTTTCAAGTTTTCTTCTACGTGTGTGCATGCATTTCCATTTTTTAAACTTGCTACTAAATGAGACGTATTTATGAACAACCTCCTGTTGTTAAATTGCTTTCTACACCATTCGTTAAAAGGAAGCATAGTATTTTATCTTGTAGATGTACTGTTAGATAATCTTGCCCAGGTATTCTTAGATAGAACTTTTCTGTAGTACTTCGCTGCTGTTACTGGGATAAATATCTTGGAAGAGAAGTCTGCTGTGCACAGAAATTTTAAATATTCAACTGCTAGTAAGTGAGCACCAGGTACTAGGTGCTGGGGTACAAGGGAAAGCAAATTAACCCTGGTGCCTGCCTCCCAGAGCTCATAGCCCAGCATGGGCAAGCCCCCCGAGAGAAGAAGGGCTGGACCTCTCTGGTCGCCTTCGTGCCTGCTTGCCTTGTCCTGTTAAAGGCTGAGTGCAGATGTACTCATTTTCTATATATGTGTCTCCAAGTACCACTAACAGCTTGAACAGCATCACTTCCTATCCCACGGTTTAGCAGGTCAGAAGTCTGGACAGGCTTGGCTGGGCGCTCTGCTTGGGGTCTTTGTTTTTGCGGGAAGTGGGTGATTAGGTTTGTTTATTTATTCTTGGAAGAGGTAGTGGGGATTGAACCCAGGACCTCCTGCATGCACTTTACCAGTTGAGCTATGCCCTCCCCCTTAGGATCTTAACGAGGATAAAATCAAGGTGTCAGCTGAGCTACGCTCTCATGATCTAGGGAAGAACCTGCTTCTAAGTTCCTTCAGGTTGTTGGCAGAATCCAGGTGCTGACGATTTTAAGGCACGTCCCTGTTTCAGAGCTGTTAAAATGTTTCGAAACAAGGCATCTTGGGCCCAGTGACGTGTAGTGGCTCATTTAATTGTCTGAGGCATTGTTATGGGGTGGGTCCTTTTCACTCCCGCTGGGTAGAAAAGCCCTCAGTTTGCCCAGGTGGGAGCCTACTCTCTACCACTCTCCCACCACGCTCAGCCTCAGCACCTCTTCCAGCGGCTTGCTCACAGCAGCTTACCTCCCTGCCCCCAAAACACGCAAGTTCATTGTCGTCACTGCCTGGAGGTATGTGCTCTTTGGCATAGAACTTGTCTTTATATTTCTGATTCATAAAGCATTCTGCTGGCTCTCACTCAGAAGACGGAAATTGCTTGGTGGCATAAAATGTCATTTTGTTTTATGTGATTATTACGTATTATGGAGTTTATTTCATGTAATTTGATAGAGCAAAGGTCTTTCCTTAAGAAAACGACTTATGAGGGACCTAAAACACTCACTTCCTGTTGTTCGGAAAAAAAGCAGATTTTTTTTTTGTCATCTTAAACATGGTTTAATTGATTCCAACGTTCTCTTCTTTCAAATACCAGGCATGTTACATATGACAAGTGAGTTTGACTGTCATCATCACTTTTAAATATTGATAGAGGACTAGTAAAGGGGTACCACACTTTTGGACAAACTGGTATATGAAAATCCAGTAGATAGATTAGCTGGCAGTTAAAAGAAAGCACCTCTTCATTTAATGAGTAGTAAAGTGATAAAACTCACCTCTCCCAAAGACAGTACAAGTGAAAAATACAGTACGTGCTATTGGGATTGCAGCAAAGATGAGTAAAACATTGTACTCAAGGAATGTGTGATTTGAATTCCAGAAGGGGGTGGGGGTGGGAAGCCCAGGAATGGGAGGGAGTGGTAGGGGTGGAGAATCAAAAGAATACAAGAACACAAGAACTCGCACAGTACACAGAACAGTGCCTCGTACACGTTACCGAACCAAACTTGGGTCCGCTTGCCCGTGCGCAGTAAAGGCAATCTACTGACATGGGGTTGTGGTGAAGGGCAGGGCAGTGTTTAGTGTAAGGTGCCAGACAAGGAGTCCAGGGCAGCCAGTGCTCAAAAGACCCCAGTTCCCCGATGGGTTTCAGGAAAGCATTTTTAAATGCGAGGTGAGAGAGGGGAGTCACAGGGTATGTGATCAGCTCGTGCACCGTTCTCTGATTGGCTGATGGTGAGGTAACAGGGCGGTGTCACAGGGGTCAACATGATCAATCCTCAGGCTCCAGGAGATGGGGGTGGCAGGGAGGATACAAGCTCCTGATCATCAAGAAGTTAACATCTTCCATTTGGTGGGGGTTTTAGCATCTGTGAAGCAACTCAGGAAATGTGCGTCAGATACTGTTATCTAGGTACTTCACAGAGGAATGAATGATTCTGTGACTGACACATGGCTGATTTACTGTTTAAATTCTTATCAGTTCTCCTGGCCCAACTGCCATTTTTCTCACTACGAGTTCACATCCTCTCAGTCATTAATTCTTGAGGCAGGCTTTTGGGACTCAGGAGAGCCCTGGGAAACTACAGCTTTCCTACAAACAAGGGGAAGGCAGAGGACACGGAGGGAGGGGTCTGTTCTGGGAAGGCCCCACAAGGTCCTGCTTGGATGCACAGAGATGTTTAATTTCCTGAATAAATAATGATAGACAAGATAAACACGTAATAGGTTTGTCAGGAAAGTTCAATGTTTCAATTTCATTTCTATGATATTGAAGTAAGTGCAATAAAAGAATAAGGTATTGTTTTGTTAACCATCAAATTAGCAAAGATATGAGAGATGACACATTCATGCTCTGAAGTTTACTCTCGTAAACTTCCTAGAGAGCACTCTGGCAAAATGCATAAATATCTTTAAATTTTGCACATCATTTAATTCTCCTCCTGGTAATTAGCCTGAAAAAATAACAAGATGGCAAATAAATATTTATCTATAAAGATGTTGATCTCAGGTTTATAGTGTTAGAAAAAAAACCTAAAGGAAAATAAAAGCTGTATGCCCTTCAAAAATACTGGTTAAGTCAGAAATGGTATGTTTAAATATTGGGATATTTTCACATTAAAAAAATCTGAATTTCTGACTCTTCTTTTAAAAATTGGAGCATCTGGTGACTCTAGGCCCCAATCCTAAAGGTCAGCTATTGGCTGGAATGACAAGGGGTGACAGGGCATGCCCCCTCCAGTATGACATAATCCCCTCTGTTTCTTATCTTGTCACATTCAGCCTCTTGTTTATGTTACTTGCCTGGCATCTGTCAGCATTTGAACTTATGAAACCTCATAAAAAAGAATCATGTCATCGGAAAATGTCCGTAACATGATGCTAAATGGGAAAAAACAGTTACCCTATGGGTGATGAGTATGACCCCATTTACGGTGGGTTTGAGCACGAGAGTGTAAGTGTGTGTGTGTAAGTGACAGGCAGTGTCACAACTTAAAAGCTGCAAGTTAAGTTTTATTTGGGGGTCTTACCGAGGACCACAGCTCTAGCCCAGAGGTCAGCCTCTCAGATTAACTCTTGAGTAACTGCTCTAAAGAAGTAAGGGAGGAGCCAGGATATGGAGGAGATTTTTGCTGGGGAAAACGCCAAAAGATAGATAACTAATTGTCCTGGGATTTGGTGGGTCAGTGCACAGATGGTAAAAGAATTTACCAAAGACAAAGGATGAAAATAGAAAAGGAGTTTATTAAGTGTGCTGCTATAGGCAACAGTGGGCCACTGGCGAGAGATATCTGTGCACTCCAACGGTAGGCTGCTGAGGTCTTTTATAAGGGAAGGTGACCTTTAAATCCTTGTGCTTACATGACATCGGGCACGAAGAGGGTCACAGGGTGCAGGTGCGTGATCAGGCTGATGTTGAAGTAACAGGGAAGGGAGGAGGTCGTGAAAGGGTAGGGCTAGGGATTTTGGTAGGGAGTTGTGACCGCCCCTGGTGGCTTGATTTCCGGTCATTGTGAAGTTGATCATTGTCTAGAGTAGTTAGTTCAGCTAAGGCAGGTAGGTATTAAGAAAGGAATGTTCTTTGTTACCTTTAAAGGGCAGCACTGGATGCTTGAGGGGTCTTGGAGCAAGGATCTGCCAGATGTCTGTGGACCGTATGCTAATCACAAAGGACAGACATCTCAAGTTAATGATTTTAGCGCTTTTCTATGTATGGAAAAGGCAAGGATCTAGGTTCACTGAATTTATTCCTTAGATATGCATCTTAACTGTCTAGGGCCAATATGTGTCTGGTGGGTGGCTGTAGTGGCTAATGGCTTAGTTCTTGTAGAGCTGGGGTGGTGGGCAACATTCTCTGCCCACAGCAGAGAAATTAAAAAGTGAGAGAGTGTGTATCCAAAAGCCAAAAGTATTTCTTTTTTAGGTGTTAGAGTTATGAGTGGTTTTTTTTTAATCCTCATTATTTCCCTAAATTCTGGGAGTTTTGTTTCTTTCTCCTTTTTTCCTCCCATTTCCAGTCTCTACATTGTTTTTCAATTGAAGTATAATTCCTTACATTTTGGAAATTAACTTATATTGCTTTGGTAATCAAAAGAAAAAAAATTTTTTTGTTATTGTTACCGCATCGAATTTGGGTCCACTTACCCGCCGTGCAGCAAAGCCAATTTACTGACACCAGGTCGTGGTGAAGGAATGTACAGTGTTTATTGTAGGGCCTTGCAAGGAGAACGGGCAGCTCATGTTCAGAACTCCTGAACTCCCCCAGTGGCTTTCAGGGAAGGGTTTTTTAAGGTAACATTTGGAGTGAGGGCCAGTGGGGTGCGTGACTTTCTTCAGATTGGCTGGTGATGAGGTAACAGGGTGGTGTTTCGGGGAATCTTAATCATCAACCTTCTGACCAGTCTGGGGTCTATGCACCTGTGGTCAGCACATAGTCACCATCCTCTACCTGGGCGGGGTCTTAGTTCCTGTAGAACAACTCAAAGATCTGCATCAGATTGTATCTATGTCCCTTCAGGTGGAACTAGAAACTAGTTTTATCACTGAACTGTGGTTTCTTGACTGCTTTTCTGCATTCTCTCACCTCTGTAATTAGTAACTGCTCGAGTCTGCTCTTTGGAACTCAGAGAAGGCCTAGGAGACCAAAGTCTTTTTCCACAAACAAGAAACGGGGATGCACATGGGCTTCTGTACGTGGGAGGGTCCTGCTTGGTTTCAACCCCACCCCCCACTTTCTTTGATACTCCCCAATTCTGAGGGGAACAGGGGGCAGGACAAGCAAGACAATGAAGTTTGGGATAGAGAGGTTGACCATGAACTCGGCAGGGGGACTCAGTTTTAGGGGGACTCAATTTCATTTTTTAAAAGTGATTGCTGAAGTAGACAGATTAAGGCAGGTTTACCTGGGGCCAGGAGGTTGAGCCCTGAACAGTCTAGAAAGCCCTTGGCTTTTCTCTCATTCCCAAGGAAATGTATAAGGACATTGTAAGTGTCTCTGTGAAAAGTTTCTTTCCTTTTTGACAAATACGCATACCACAGGCCTGATAAGTAAAACCCCTGTCTCACCAGCCCCCATCCCTCTTCATCCCATGAATGTTGATACAATACTTATTAAATCTTAAATAACACTGTTCAGTGCACATGTTTATTTAGAACAGTGGCGTGTGTCAACACAAGGAACAGGAACTCAGCTGCAGAGTGGGGACCCCCAAAGGACAGGTAGATGTATCATTAGCTAAAGACCCAAGCTAGCAAATGTCACCAGCAGGGAAGAACAATTCTTGAATTAGGGCTTTCCAAAAAAAAAAAAGTGATTACCGAGAAGGGTTAATGAGCCCACCCATATCACATTCTTGGTCTGGGTAGACCAGGGGGCTACTCCACCTGACCTTCACCATCTAGTCTCCACTACTTTCTATGTATGTCTCTGTCATATGCTTTTTTCACTTGGTTGCTTATATCTTTGAAATGATCCCAGATCATCTGAGGAGTTAAAAATCTCTGCAGTCAGGGTCCCCTTTCTGATTCTGATGTGTTGCTTTTTCTTTAGAACTTGGAGAGTCTGATGGCTCAAAACACCACCGGGCCTGTCTTCTACCCAAGGCTTTACCACCTGATGGCCTATGTCTGTATACTGATGGGGGATGGGCAGAACTGCAACCTCTTCCTGAACACAGCCTTACAGCTCTGTGAAACACAGGGGAACGTGCTGGAGAAATGCTGGCTGAACATGAGCAAAGTACGTACCATCAGCCAGCAAGCTGGGGAAGCGGGTGCTCATGGGGGAGGCCAAGGAGCCCCAGAAGCCCACTGCCTGCTGGGTGTCACCTGATGTGGGAGGCCATCGTGGGCCCTTCTGGGCTCTTACTGAAAGGGATGACATGTCCATAGGTCGGGTATTCGCACCTCCTCTCCTCCTTGAGTTTCCGTGGGATCGCCTCCTCCTCCAAATCCCCTTTAGCAGGATCTCTGCCTTCTTGTGGCCCTCACCGCTTTCCACTGTGTGTTACATTCGTGTGCATGTCTCGTCTCCTCTTGAAAATGGGAACTCTTAAAAGGCAGAAACCACTTAGTCCCTCACACAATGCCTTCTACTCAGTATTTGCAGAATTAGTGAATGGATGTACATTTTATGTGTTTATTTAGAGTCATGTGTCAGTATCCTGGTTTGGGCAACAAAGTTCATTTCTTGTCTGTGGGTTCCCCTGGTTTTAAACGCTCAAGGACATCTGTCTATTTCTGGTATTGGACCACTCTTGACCACGCAAGGTGAAGAGCACTGATGAATTCTGTTCTCTGTCTCTCCTCTCAGGAATGGTGGTACTCAAGCTCTGAGTTAACCGAAGACCAGTGGCTTCAAACAGTCTTGAATCTCCCCTCATGGGAAAAAGTTGTATCAGGCAAGGTCAACATGCAGGATATTCAAAAAAACAAATTTCTGATGCGAGTTAATATCCTAGACAATCCTTTCTAACGTTTCGTGAAAGAGAGCAAAGATTTTAGTAAGACTCCTTCTCTCATGATGATTCAGTATTAACCTGTCTCTGTAGCCAGCATCCTCTGGGTCCCTACATACTCCCTTCAGTTCCAGACACAGAACCAGACGTGGTTTCTCCTCTTTCCGGAGGGTCGGAAAGGGTCAGCAGTGTCCATGCTCTACCTTCTCCCAGCTTTACACAAACTCCCTTTGCCTTTCATGTTGTTCTCACTTAACCTGTTGATTTCTGCCCATGCAAAATTGTATCAGGTCAAAAAATATTAATATCAAAATGGTACATCGTACAACTGATGCCCTTCTAGTTAATCTATTAAACTGAAAAAATGGCTATTTTTAAATGTCCAGTTGTTCAATCTTTTGTATGTAGCCTGAGATTACAAATAGCAAATTCTCATCATGGTCCCTAAGGGCAAGATTTGAAAAGACACATCTTCATCTTGCTTGACTGCAGCCTCCGAAGCCCTTGTAACCACGTGCATCAAATATCTATGGAAATAAACTTCTGAAAAAATGAAAATATTAGTAATTTTCATGTAGGTATCTTTTGCATGCTGAGGGTTTATATATTTCTGTATTTAGCAAAGTGATAGCATGCAACTTCATTTCCCAGATGTTGGAGAAGCTGCCCCCAGAGCCACCTGCAGTTACTGTCTCTCTTCATTGGCAGAAAGAACAGTTTTTGTAGGTATTTTGAGGATGCAAGTGGAACATGTTAGATTCAGCCTCTCTCTGCATTGTATGTATATAAATGTATAGACAGTGGAATACCACTCACCGCAACTTCTTTACCCAGGACAGATGACTAATTTTAAACATAAACACATCATATATTAAACTTCACGTAAATATTGTCTCCTTCAAAGCTGTCATCCTGGAATTTGCATACTTGTTCCATGTGCTACATAAAAAACTCCTTGCTTTCTAATTACCTTCATTATTTTGTATATCATTCGTCTTATTCATTCACTTATTTACTCATTCAATTAACATTTTTTTTGACTAATCACCATGTATCAGGCATTGATGAGGTACCAGAGATTGAGATACAAAGACATAAAAGCCACAATCCTGGACCTTGGTAGGCCCGTAGGTCCAGCAGAGGAAACAGACCCACAAGTAAACCTCAGTTAGTCCATATTTCACTGGAATTATGTAATAGAGGTGTGGACACAGCGAACGGAACATGGTGAAGAGGGTAACACATACAAAACTCAGGCATCGCAGAAGCTTGGCTGAACTGCCCCTGAAGTCATTTCGGTTACACTGTCCCTTCTGGGTGTGAGTAGAGGGCAAGTGTGGGGTGCAAATGGGTGAATGTGTAAGAGAGAATGTGTAAGTAATGTGCACACGAGGAGACAAGTGTGAGCAACGCTTGGCCTTTAGCAGAGAGGTGTGTGACATGGGGCTCCTAGGAGATGTAGGCCAAGGGCCTGGGGGTCCGCTCTCCAGAGGCGGCGCTGTCCTGGAAGTGAGGAGCTGTCCTCCAGACCCCCAGCCCACACCCCCTTCCCGGGCAGACCCTCCCACTTGCACTCCTAGCTCCTCCTAGATGGAGTCCTCCAGTGAGACGCTGGGGGCTGGGCTGTGTCCACAATCCTCCATCCTCCAAAACTTCAGAAACTTCTTTCACGTCACTTTATTGGCTTCCGACCAAGCCAAAGCGCAGACTGGGAGGAGGTAGGCATCGGGAGGGCAGGCTGCTACTGGAAGTGCAGTGAGGTCGTTCCCCAAGGACTGAGCAAAGAGAGAGAACAGAGGAAGCAGGAGGAAAAGGCCAAACTGAAATTTAAAGATTTTACATTCCATGGGTCTGTATCCAGAGGAGCGGGCATCAGGCTTTACGGGAATCCTGAACTTGGCTTCGGGCCCCGACTACAAAACAAACCAGTTATGGGACCTTTACATCGGTTTCCTCACCTCTAAGCTCAGCAGGTAGTGACAGGTTCCCTTCCCGCCCCATCAGGCTGCTGTTCCGCCTCCTATCCGCCGGCGGGGCAGGGGTGCATCTCTGTGGCCAGCAGATGGCGGCACCGGCTCTTTGCTAGGACTGTGCCAAAGGAAGGGTTTCTGGTCAAGCTCTGCAGGTTTTTTGTCTTCAGACCCACAGCCTCAGTGCTTAGAACCGCATCAGCCTCCACAGCAACTCCCCTCATTACCTGCAGGAAGCTTCTAGCATTGTCAAGAACATCACTGAGAAAGTAGATTCTGGCTAGAATTCTTTTTAGGAGAAGGCAGATAATTCATGAAGCTTTCAGGAACAGAGGGTGATGGAGAAGTGATGATCTTTTTCTTTTCTGCTCTTTCCTACCTGCTTTCCTTCCTCCCTTCCTTCCTTCCTTCCTTTCTTTCCTCTCTCTTTCTCCCCTCCTCCCCGCCTCTCTTTCTTTCTTTCAACATAAGTCTTTGAACTAACTCTCCTCCCCAAGTCTATGAACTCCTAGAGGGCAGAGCCTCCTTCCTCATTCTGTATCTCAAGATCAGTGCCTGGACATGTAGTAAGTGCTCAGAAAGTGTGCATTAGTGAATTAAAGAATAGTTGCATTTGATCATCTCAAGTTAATTCTTACAGGCACTCTTAAAAGCAGGAACCTAATACTTATTGAACAAATAAACTATATGAACAAAAATTACTTATCCACTGTACTAGCCAGGCTTTGTACTAGGGTTACAATAATGAATAAGAAACAGTCTGCAAAGTAGTTATAGGTGTCGATTTTTAAAACACACACACTAAATAAATAAAGCCAATTACCCTACCCCGCCCCTAATATGTTGGAAAAAGCATAAGAGCCGTGGGTTGAGTTTGTTCAGTGTCTTACTGAGGACTGCATTGCCGGAGACAGCCTCTCAGGTAGCTCTGAGAAATTGTTACAGAGAGGTAAGGGAGGAGCCAGGACTATAAGGACTTTTTTCCTGGGGGAAGAAAAAACATGTGGTCAAACATAAAAAGATTACTGCTAAGCACAAAGAACAGACATTTCAAATTAATGATTTTAGTGCTTTTCTATGTATGGGAAGATGCAAGAATCTGGGGGTCTTTGAAACTTTTCTATAAATATGTTTCTTAACCATCCAGGGCCGGAAACCAAAGCACAGAGTGCTTCCTGTTTTCCTCCATCCTCAGTTCCTCCCAGGCTCACTGTTGATGGGCGACTGCAATGGCTAATGGCTTAGTCCTTGAAGAACAGGAATGAATGGCAGGGAATGTTTTTCTTTTCTTTACACAGATACAGACCTGAGGGAGGCCTCCCTGGATTGGGTCTCCGTACTACTAATTGCTAGCTTTGTGTCCCTGGGCAAGTTATTTAACCTCTCTATGTCTCAGTTTCCTTGTTTGTAAGATGGGGACGATGACAGTGTTTACCTTATAAGGTAGGTATGAGTTAATTCAGGTAAAGCACTCAAATGGGGCTGAAGAAACAAACAGACAATTAAAATGCAGAGTTATGGAGGACATTGCACAGCGTTAGCCAGAGAGCAAATGTAGAGGTATGCACCCTCATGTGGCTTTAGAAGTTTCTCGAAAGCTTCCGGGAAGAGGAAATAGTATTTAGCCAGGTGACGACTTTCCATGGGGGGACCTGGTGTTCAGTGCCGGATGGAGGCCATGGAGAGCCCGGCTTCTCCCATGTGGTCTGGACGGAACTCTGCTAGGTGAGGGGAGGCGTGTGCATGAGGACATGGGGACAGTAGGATCTGGATCATTAAAGGCCTTGAGGGCCAGGTGGTTTAGGGCCAGAGACCTTACCCTGCCAGTGACGTAGGAGTCACTGAATGGTTTTACTGAGGAAGTGCATGGACCACATTTCTGTTTAGAAAGACCATCCTCTCTTGTTGAGAATGGATTGGAAGTAAATTGGGCCAAGATGAAGGCTGGGAGATGGTTGCTGTTGCAAGCTTGGAATAGGATGTCCTGCAATAAAGAAGGGACAGTGGAGATAGAGATAAGGGCTCTGACTTGAAAGATATCAAAGGAGGTAAAAAAAAAAATCAGAGATTGGCTTTTCAAGGAGGCTGTTCAAAAGGAACAAACACACAGAGAAAGGTCCTGTAAGCTAAGGACTGGGACGTTTCAAGCACTTGCGTGTTTCCTGGACTATCCGGACTATCATATTCACCCCACCCCTCCCCAGCTCCAACCGTTCAACCCCGCCTCCCCTTAGGATCACCTACTCGTGGCCCAGTTTGCCATCTCTGTTGACGGTACCAGTCACTGCTCAGCAGGATTCCTCTCTCTTTAATCCCCCAGCCCATCATTTTCTGCCAATGCCCTTTACCATTCTTCCTAATACTTCTCAGACCCCTCCGCTTGGTCTCTATCCCCACCACTGCTGAAAACCCAGGTCGGTCCTCTCTGCCTGAGCTCGGCAGTAGCCACGTCATTCACTGGCCGCTCACTTTCAGACGTCCCTCCTCCACCAGCTGGCAGGCTAAGCTTGCCGAACTGCAAATCCCCATCTGTTTCTCCTCTGCTGAAAGTCCTGTTTGCCTTCAGGACAACATCCCAGTTTCTTAGCTTGGAGTGGAAGGCTTTCAAGGCCTGGCTCCCCACCAAATCCAATGCTGCAGTCACAGCGGCCTCACTCTCTTCTATCCTGAAGATTTGGGCTGGTCCCTCTAGCTGGCATGGTCTTTCCCAGAGTCATGTGGGCTTCTCCCATCTTACTTTCAAATGCTTCTGCCCCAGTGCACCTTCTCCCTGACCACTGAGTTAGGTGCATTCGTTTCTCCCTGTTATTCCCCGGCTATTTCTCCTTCCTCCTCCGAGCTGCTCTCTCTATACTGCCTGGACCTGTTGGTGTGGGGCTGTCTCCTCTCTGAGTTCATCAAAGGCAGAGATTCTGTCTCCCATCATCTTGGTATCCCACTTGGCATAGGGCCAAGCATTAGAAGGCTATCAGCATGTTCTTGTCTTGTTCACAGTTACATCCTACACATCGTCAGTGTGGGGGACACAGTAAGTAATAAAGGTTGACTGAGAGAGTGACGGAGTGTAACTCTATCTACCCGCCCGAGACTAGTGACCTCCAGGACCACTACTGGGAGGTGTAGCCCCTTCCCCACCCACCATGCCTCCATAGCAAGCCAAAGAGGGGTGTGGGGAGACACTGTGAGCATGTGTGTGTGTAACCTGGCACAACTATCCAAAAGTTTGACAACTCCTGCCTGGTCTACAACGTTGCGGTCCAACAGAACTTCCTGTGATGAGGGAAATACTCTATCTGCACGGTCCACTGCCACACATAGCTACGGAGTGCTTAAAATGGGGTTAGTGTGAAGATCTGAATTTTAAATTTAATTTTAATTAAATTAATGGTTGCATGCAACCAGT